AGACTTTGTGATTTCTTATAGCTGTCTCACACATTTCAAAGTTCTTGACAATTTGAATTAGTTCTATTTTGGGTGGCCAATATATCAAGGAAAACCTTCTCTGTTTACATTGAATGACAGGGGAGCCCCATGGAGAGATCCCAGGTTTATTAGAGTCAAGATGAGATCAAGGCTAAATTTAATCTCATCTTAAAACTTTGCTCAGTCTAATTAGCTTACACTGTTGTGTCAAGGGTCATAAACTTTCTGTATCTTGTGCTTCACTTAACCCACCAAAGGGATGGGATTTACAATGCATTTTTAAACAAACAAAATCTTACCTTGCTCACCTTCCTTTAAGCATTAAATTTGGTTACCTTTTTCATTTTATTTTATATATTGTACGTCGTTCTTCATTTTTGTACAATGTATGGTTTCCCCATGAAATTCCTATCACCAGTTCACCCTTGCACCATCAACATTGTCTCCTGTGCGCTCCTGCTTCAATCGAACTCTCTCCTTCACTTGCCCTGCAGAAAGTCTCTGATTTATATGGCCTGTTGATTTTTAATTGCTTATAATTACTTTTTGTTTCCTTCCTGATCCCTTTGTTCCTCTACATTTCTCCTTTAAGTGAAACCATCCGATATCTTTCTTTTACTTTCTGGTTTATTTTTATTGAGCATAATCCCCTTTTAAAGGGAGATTGCCATTTCAAATTTTTCTCTATAGGAAAGATTCTCTATCTGTGAAAAACATTTCTGATTTTCTGTCATTTGCCAGATTTAACGTCCCTGTTTTCATGCTTTTCAATATTTTGCATTAGTTTTTGTATTAATAGCTGGGTAACATGAGGGCCACTTATGAAACTCAATTATATTATCAAGCAAAACCATAAATTATTTCTGGAAAAAAAGATTTTCTATAAAACCTATCCCCGCTACCATATCAAAGAAAAAAAATAATGATAGTTCATAATTTTAAGAAATAGTTTTATGTTATCTGAATCATGCTGATTAAATATAACTATGAAATAGCTTAATGTATGCCTCTTGCTTAGAGGACATTTTCTATTTTGTAATCTAAACTTTCACCTCATTTTGGGGTTGGAGTTTCTAACAAATTGTAAGAAAGGATCCACCCCACACCCCAGCCTGGGGTTCTATTAAGCTATTGTATATGTATGTTTAGGTTAAAAATGTCTTCCATTAACTAACTTCAGAATTTGAGGTATGACTGTATTATAAACAGCCCTTTCTTAGTCAAGTGATGGTTTGCTTTCAAGACCTACCTTGGGGATTCAAAAACCCAATGGTGGGTTATATGCTGGTAAAACCTGGATGGTTTAAAGTGTGTATCCTCTTTCTTAAGAAAGAAAAGTCAAATTATAAATCAGGCTTTGCCTCCCTTGAATCAATCCCTTGCCCTCACTTTAAGTTGGTTCCCATTCATAATGTTCTTTTGTATTTCATACAGTAATTTTTATGTTCACACAGTGTTAAATAAGTTTCAAAATAAAGAGGGAGCGTGCCAAACTTTTATTCTCATAACTCAAAAAGAGACTAACTTCATGTATATCAACTCTAAGAAACTCACACTAGTAGGTTTAATTCCATGTCTCTCCACTGTAATTTGGAAAGTCCTCTGTAAAGCTCCCCTCATCCGTTTCATCTGTGACTGTTGCCCAATGATGCAATAATAGTCAGCTGTTATGTCCCCTCTGCTTCTTTCCATGCTGGGATGGAACTCGATCAGTTAAGGTGAGTCTGACACTGGGAACAGAAAAATAGGATGAAACTGGTAGCAGTGATTTTAAATTGATCATAATGTAATTAAAGAAACATATTTCCCCTCAGCAAAGGTTGAGGGCAATTCGGAGCGCCTCACAATCTATATGGAAAAGAGGAAAAGGCTGGAGCAAACTTCTACTTGAAACACTCAGATAATTCAAGTAAAATATGGAGTTGCTCTTGAAGGGTGTGGGAGGAGAGTGGACTGGTCTCTTAATTGTTTAAATAATAACCCTCAGTTTTCTGTGATTTGATATACTCTGATACTTTGATGGATCTATTTTACTCAATTTTTAAAAAATATTTATTTATTTATGCTTACAGAACTGGGGTATAGGCCAGAGATGTGGTGGGTGAGAGGATTCACCAGAGACAAAGTGGGGAGGAGAACACACAGGTTGACAAAGTACACTGCTGAGGAAAGCAGCAGGCGGGTCAGGAGAGGTCTGCCACCCCATGTGGGTCAGCTCCCAGGCAGAGGATTGAACTCGTGCTGTAGTGTCTTCAGAGAGTTTCATAATGCAGTGCTTTAACCCATTGCACCACCAAGGAGAGCCCCTATTTTTTACTCATTTTAACCCCCAAAAAGATGAAGAATTTTTTTTTCATACTTCTAATTTATGAACTTTATCTGTAATTACCATCAAGAAAGAACATTGACTAGGAGCACCTGCACAGCCTACTAGTCTTACTGCTGGACAGTGTTGGCTGCATCTGTGAGTTTACATCCTATATCAGTTTGGAGAAATGTATCACGTACTCAGTTGTCTGCAGTAATAAAAAGAGCTAGAACAATCGCTCCAATATTGTGCACCAGCCCCCCCCCACAGATCTGCTGTGTAAATACTTGTATATGTAAATGAATATCACAAGACTAGTATTGCCATTAAAGAGTATTTTTCCATTAAATAGTCAATGATGAATCACTTTTGGATTATCTCTTTATGTTGCATTAATTCATAGCTTGCAGAAAACATCCCCATTTGCATAGATAATTGACACATAGTACTGATTATTTTACAGATCTCAAAGCCTTTTATTTGTACATTCGTTTATTTTTTCTTTCTATGACATTTAATAAAAATGACTTTACTTAGAAGTTGAGAGACCCATGATTTTTGTAGTTAGTTCCTACATGAGCTTTGTGTCTGCTCCGATGCTAACTATTCTCTATTAGTGTAAAGAAGATACTCAAATATAACTGTCACCCTGAATATTCTTCCACACCAGAAATTGTTCTAGGATCTAAGCATTTTTATTACCAACCTGAAGGATAAATATACCTTCAGAAACCTTTAATTTCTGCAGAACAGTGGGTCTAGTTCACTTTAATTTCCAATGGATTATATTTATTAACTGACTACATTACTACATTGTAATGAATTTCAACTCAAGTTCTTAGTTATTCTAATCTTGTTTTCTTTCTTTCTTTTTTTTTTTTTTTGCATAAGGATTGTAAAATGCCAATTCGCACCTTCGCTGACTAGTCTTATTTTTGACTCCCTCTTCCCTGCATGACCACCTCTTTCTATGCACCAACCTCTCAGTTGTCACCATATTCTGTATCGTGAGCTGATGTGTGTGTGTGTGTGTGTGTGTGTGTGTGTGTGTGTCTTCATGTCACCCACCAACTGAGTTGGGTTTCCTGAAAACACTTGGAGGGTTTTTAGTCTTTTGAGAAATAGTTGAAGTCAAGCTTTGGCGTCTCCATTTATACCTGTAGCTTCTCATCAAGATTTTCTTGCCAGTCAGTCTTTTCCAAGTTGTCCTCACTTAACTAAAAAATCATGTTTTCATTTGAGACATTGACAAGGCAAAGCACTTTCAAAAGCAAGTTCAGTATTCTTACTAGGTAGAGAAACAGAAACACAATTTGTTTTGAATTTAATATTGTCTTCTTGATATCTGGAATGCATGTTTTTCATTAATATTTATTTGGAATATATAATACACCAAATACATGTTAAATAGATACATGTAATTTTCATATACTCTAAATTCTGCCTATTGGAGAAAGAAAACATCTCTTCAGTGCATCCGGCAACATTTTTCTTCTCTGTATTTAAGTAAGTAGCTCAATGAATATTAAATAATTATAATGAAAAGGCAACTAGATGTCATAGTAGTAACTATAAGGGAAAAGCAAGAACAAAAGGGTATATCAGAACAAAGCAATTAAAGGTGTTGATACAGGGAATAAAAATGTTATCTGATAAATCTGTATTATAGTAAAATGAATTATCAAAACTATATTAATACATTTTATTGGAATTGTATTGGTATATACCATCTCAGTTATGGGCATATAAAACAGTTGCCCTACAAATATGATCCTGTTTATGCCTTAATTTTTATCTTATGAGTGTTTATGTCTTCTGCTATGAAGTGATCATTGACTGGGAGTTATATGAACCAGACTATTCACTTTCTTGCAATTGCTCATTGAAGCATTGCTATTTCTGTTAGGTGACATTTGCTTTATTTAGCAAAAGGAGTAGTGATGTGGGGATGGTCGAATTTTGTTAGCTCCATCATAGGGATTTGTGAAGGTACAGTATTTGGAGATCTGCATTTGTATTCAAAACTACCTTGCACATGAAAAGGACTGATACTCTTCTGAAAGTATTTCTAATCAACATTGCTTCACTGCATTGTTTTCAGATCCTTTCGCCTCCTTAGCATTATGTTAAATACAGATTAGCTATGTCATTGAGAAGAAATTCAGATAGAAAATGTAAGATGTGACAATAATCAAGCTAACATTGAAATGATGTTATCTGATTTGGTGTTCAATAAATTATCCTATTTTGCTATTGATTCAGTTTATGACACTTTGAAAGGACTGAAACACTTCACTCTGGAGGTCAGAGTTCTACATCCTGAATTCCATTAGACTATATAAATAACCTGTTTAGAGTGCGTAAAATACTTATGATGCATACAATAAAGAAGCTTAACTTAATCATTCTTAAGTTTGGTTATTAAGATGGGAATAAGTAACAAAAGACATTCTAATTTTCTTCTTTAATCATGTTACATGGTACTATAATGCTAAACATTGAGTTGAAGAATGTTCACAAATAATTATCTTCTTTATGTATATCCAATTATTCAGGTATTTCATGGAAAGATTTACACAGAATTGTTCACTCAGGATTTCAAAAGGTTATTTGTTCTACTTATAAAAATGCATTAAACATGGGCATATATATGTATTTTTTTTTCTCCTAGCAATGGTTGTTTTGAGCAACCTGGAACCAAATACAACTTATGAAATCAGGGTTGCAGCTGTAAATGGAAAAGGGCAAGGAGACTACAGTAAAATAGAAATCTTCCAAACATTACCAGTTCGTAAGTAATCTTTCTTTTTCTCTTGGTGGCCATTCTTTTCCCCTGCAAATTTAAATGGAATTTTAAAATGCAGAAAATGTTTCAACACTTCGGGGAAGTGAAATATGTCTTTGTTAAAGTGGTTTCTGAAGATGGTAGCATGCTAGATTTATAAAAATAACTTTACTTCTGAAACAAGGCAAAAAAGAAGAGGTATTCTGCAGTATCTACAGTAAAGTTGCTCCCAGGAAGCTGTTCCAATTAGGAGGGTGTCCTAGTTATTCACAGTCTGACTAATTGGATGGTGGTGCTCAAACTGTGTCTTGTGAAGGAGTACAAAAGTGTCCTGTAACATCTCCAATATGCCATCCTTTTAATGAGGGACAGCTACTCTCTTCACCCTATATTTTATGTTGGTCCAATATGGGAGAGAGGGACACTAAATGAATCCATTGCCACAAGACTGCAAGAGAAAGCTTTTGCAGCTTTGTTTTTGTTTCTGTCCTAATGTTGCACATGTCCTTTCTAGAGAATACAAAGAAAATGTGAGAAAATTTGGGACCAACAATTGCTGTTACAAAATCTGTCCATTACCTCGCTGGTTAAATGTAAATATTAGGAGAGGCAAGTTGGTCACTTTAGACAAATACTAATGAGTTATTTGCTGTTGGTTCTCACAGAATCTGTTCGGATGTGCTTCCTTTTCTGCATTCCTAACGTTAGACTATTTCAGTCTCTTACATACTCAGAGGCATGACTGCGAGTACATTTTGACTCATGATCCTTCAGACTTAAGTGATTCTAGAATAATAAAAAAAGTCCTTCCTGTGTAAAACCCTCAACCACACCATCCTGCGCGTGAGTTGCTTCCATCCGGGCCTGCGGTTTCCAGCAGCTGACATCCGTTACCTTCCCCTCCACCGCCACAGGGCTGCTGCCCGCGTGGGCTGCTGTAAGCGATAGTTACTGTGTTCTTTACCCTGAAAGTCCTGTGCGTGTTGTCTTGACTTCTCTCCCTTTACAAACTCCAGGGTCCACAGCCTCCAGGAGAAGGCATCACCTTAGTTAACCCCTCACCTTGATTTCTTCTGTCAGCCGGGCACAGTTCATTCTTTCTTCATCCCGTCATTCCATATGCTCTAAATGCTGCAGCCATAAAACTACCTTACCCTTGATTGTTTTCACTTTTCCTTTTAAATTATAAAAATTCTAATCTCCTGTACTATTGTCGACTTGCAGATCTCTCTCTAGGCTGTGAGCAGTTTGAGAGCAGAAACATTGAGGTTTCCAATACTAAATATGATTTATTTCTCAGCATTGTTTTAAAGTTAATCTAGGAAATATGTTCAAAGCGGTTAATGTGGAATAAGTCTTCATTATTATCTATTAAATATTGATACCTTTACCTTTTTATTAGCTTTCTTTTGTGTTGCAAATAGAAACCATTAATTTGATCTGTTTATCTGTGATAGAATCTGTATTTGTTTCAATTTTCTTTTCAAAAGTAGTAGCAGTCTCAATAGAATGACAAATTTGTTAAAATATATATATTAACTATAAAACTATAGGTACAAAATATATAGTTATAAATCATTTAAATGTGTAAAATTCATTTGTTATTAAAATAAGTTTCTGTCTTATAATTTATAATTATATTCCCAAATGTTATATTGGAAACAGTATTATTACAACCACATTATTAAGTAAATTTACATTGTATAATATTTAAATTCTAAAACCAACTTAGATACAATGCTAAATTACCTTATCTAACATTAATTTTAGTGTATCTATGTTTCCTAAAGTATATAATAACCTATTATATACTTTAAGTAATTATCATACTGATCATAAAGAAGTTTCAATTTGTCAAAAATATATTATGTTGCATATATAAATTGTGTCATGTCTGCAAGCTAGCTCAATTGACGTTAATAAAACAATCACTCTACTATTCTGGTATCCACTCGATTTGCAATATGGCTGTACCACAGGCAGACATGAGTTCTTGCATGGAAAAACACCCCATTGTTACATTTATTTAATTACCTGCCTTTTCTCAAGCAAAATAGCCATTTGCTTAAGGTGATAAAAGCATTAGAAGTACAGATGATTGTTTCCGATAACTCCAGCTTTGGCAACACGCAGTACTCTTTATTCCCTCCCCCTTTGGAATTCCTCTGTTAAGTTAGGTACTATAGGTTTCCCGAAAAATGCAAACTAAAACAGGTCTTGCAGGATTTCTTTCCCATAAGGAGCTATAGGAAACAAGCCAAGGGGGCTCTAGCTCATCACATAGGACATGGAGCAGGGAACCCCCATTCCAAGTTTCCAGGTAGTGATGGTGTCCTTCATATAGAAAACTCTTAAATTTTAGGAGTCTCTACTTTTATTCAAAATAACATAAGCATCTTTGTTCTAAGTACCCCCATTTGAATTATAGAATCAAAGGCACACAGTCTTGACTCTAGAAGACAAAATACATTGAAACATGGATGTGTAGATTAAATATCACAAAATTTCTTCATTCAAATATGCCTTTTATAAAATATTGTTTATGAAAGCAGACAGCTAATTGCTAAGCCATTGTCGGTTAGCTCTATATTCCATATAGTTTAATGTCTTGATATGTTTATATTAATAAATATTCATTGAATGTGTGCACTAATAATAAGTGATTTCAAAAATGAAAGTTTACACCTGTATAATATAGCACTCTTCTCTGAATTTTTATATCCATGTAAGTGACCTATTTATATCCATGTAAGTTTGTGGGTTTCACAATTTGGGCATGGTGTTTCTCAGTTTGTGAATATTGCTGATATTTGACCAGAGGTTCTTGAGTCAGGTTAAAACATAGCAAGTGGTAAATAGCTAATAATAATTCCAGGATAGAATGACATATTTTGATGACAGGACAGTGTTCTTTTCATCAAACTGTAGTTTCTTTGGGACTCTGAGTGATGTGCAGATCTCACCAGTGTTGTGTCACACACTTAGGTGAACCTAGCCCGCCATCGATACATGGACAGCCAAGCAGTGGAAAGAGCTTTAAACTCAGTATCACCAAACAGGACGATGGTGGGGCCCCTATTCTGGAGTACATTGTGAAATACAGAAGTGTAAGTACCCCTTTCATGAGTATTCTATGTGGCATGTTTTCAAATTCCATTACATCTGCTTTGACTTAATGGATATACCAGCCATATAAGGCTACTGATAGCAGTAGCATCAGTGATAAAATTGTATTTATAGGAATTCACATGCTAACCTTCCTTTGTTGAACTCCTCATTTTAAGTTATGAAAATTATTGTTAAACATGAATGTTCTAAATGTAGATCATCCAGATATTGCCATGATTTCCATTTTGTGATTTCCAAAGATAAAATGGAACTAGGTGTAGTGCACATTTTCCCTGTTTTCTGACAAGTTTTGCAGGATAGTTTCACCATCTGTCCTCCTTGTTATTAGTAACTGAGGCTTTCTTCTCCATTTTATGCCACAGGTATGATCATTAGCATATTACACCTTGAATAAATTAATCCATGTTTATCGAATAATGGTCATTTTGATTCTGAGTTAGTAGAAGTTTTCTTCAGCTTCACTAGCAATAGCTAATAAGAATTTGGGCAGTAAGAAGCTGCCTTGGGCGTTTACACATGTGGAGGGTGAAGACCACCCTGTAGGTGTACAGGGGTGCCGGCTGGCCAGTGATTTTACAGTCACCTGACAATAATGCCAACGGTTATTGACTGTGATTTGTCCTGACAATTTTGCCTTAAGTACCACAGATTATTTGTCTGCTATGAAATATGTGAAAAGTGAAGGTCAACTTTAAATTAAGTTCTATATGGAGATAATGATTACTCCCATCACACAGTATCACTTTTATTTTTTTTATTAAAAGTATTGATATTTGAATTTATTGTATTTTTGCAAGATGTGTTTTAAGTCATGTGTGGGAGCATCAATTATTGTGTGCCTCAACTAATTTGTGTCATTGCCTGGGTGATTCTTTACTTAGACTGTCTGGTGCCTCTCTCTGCAGAAAAAGAGGAACTGGATAAGGGACCCCTGAGGACAAAATTCCTGGTATGAGGATCTGTACATGCTAAAAACAGCATATGCAGAAACAGGGAAAGTTTGAGATAAGAAAGTACTCAGAGCATATGTCCTGGTGTGAGGATCCATTCATGCTGAAAACAGCATGTGCAGAAACAGCAATAGATGTTATGGTGAGAGTAGCAAAAACACTGAGACTTCCCTTGACTTTCTCCCTTCTTCCCAACCTTGGCTGAGGCTAGCTGCTGGTTCTGCAGCCCCCACATATTTGTGCAACCCAGGTATGCCTCTTGCTTCTTTGATCTTTTTTATTTTTTCCTGATTCTAAATAAAAGTGAGGCTGCCCTTGGAGGCTGGGCATGCCTTTGTGGTGTAGTGTTCTAGGCTCCTCATTGTTCTGAACATGGACTCTGAGTAATCCTTTTTCATCCTGCCACAAGTGGTAACAAGACAGTAACTATCTTTAATGCTATCTAGATGAATTTTAACTGTTATCCTACAAGTCCACCTTTTTTTTGAATCATGCTACTGTTGCTTTTAAATGCAGACAGCTAAGTTTTGAGGGTAGTGAAAAGGAAGTGTGAGTTTGAGGATCGCACCTCAATAATCAACTTTAGATATCAGTTCAGTCTTTTTAATTGAAGGTTAACATCTCGTTTACAGGACACTGCTTGTCTGCTTGTGGTAGATGTCATGCTTGCAGTGAGGAGCAGCTATTTCCATCTCTTCTGGTTTCTCTATTATTAAAGGTTTTATAGTCCTTCTGAAAACTCATTGATCTGCTGTGATCTGATAGGGTCAGGCTACACTATACTTGAACATTCTTTGTCTATCTGAAAACTCTGTGGAAGGGAGAGAATCTTATCTTTCAGGGACAAAAGCCTGAAATGAATTTGTGAATTGAACTGCGCAAACATGATTTTCATGTGAATTGTGACCCACAAATGCATCCAACAGAATTTCTGTTAAAAGTGATGTAGGTAGCGGGGCCCCATTTATGGGAAACCCCAGTGAAACACTGAAATCAGTAAACACTGAAATGCAATGACTAAGAATGTCTAATATATTCTCTATATTTATAATTTCTGCCTACAATAAAATCTTATGTTTGCTTTGTCCATTCTAAAGCATTGATATTGGAAACAAAGCTAATGCTATATTATTTCAACCAGAATCATTGTTTTCAAATGTTGACAAGAAATATATATATTTACCATATCCTTATTTCTCCTTATCCATTATTGGCTTTTTACTATATAATACAACATATATATTTTAGGGAAGTTGTGCCTTTTTTCAGCTCACAGTCAGGAATGCAATCTATTTTTATATTTTCTCACCTTTACCATGTTGACATTTGTCCTCATGCAGATTATCTTATGTTCCTAAGATGACAGCTTGACATCCGCATTTACAGTAGGGGGCGGGGGGAATGGAAAGAGACAAGAGGCTGTTCAAACTGAATTTTTCTTCTTTTTTTTTTTCAGCAACAAAATACAGTAAACTTCATCAAGCAGAAGTAAAATTACATTTCCTTCCATAAAAATATGCCTCATGTCTACCCTAAAAAAAAAAAGTAGTTGTAGATGTGAGATAGACCAGCTAGTTAAAAGGGTCTGTGTGAATTGTAAATGCCATCATATTTATTCTCTTAGTAACTGTATAGACTGCTGGGGCAGCCGTCACAAGTGCCACAGACCAGGTGGCTCGCACTTCTGGAGGCTGAAAGGCTCCTCCCCTTTGGCTTGTTGATGGCTAACACATCCCAGTGCCCTCCCGTGGACTTTCCACTATGGACACATATCCTTGGTAGCTCTTTCTATGGACACATATCCTGGTAGTTTTCATACAAAACTATGAATCCTTTCAGATGAGGACGCTCTCCGAATTGCCTCATGTAACCTTAATTACCTCTTTGAAGGTGGTGTCTCGTAATACAGTCTGTTTCACTTGGGGGTTAAGCTTTAACATATGAGTGGAGGGACACATTGATCACCCTGGCCATCTGTCATAAATCCTGTGCCTAAAAGGCAGCTTTGTTGGTGTACTATCAAGTTATCCAGAACTTTTCCTCCTATTGCAGAATGTGGAACGTCCTGTACTTCCACTCTCTATATTGGCAGTAACGGCTTCAGTGTTTATAAACTCCTAGAGCAGTGCTATGTATGTTTAGATTCAATGCAATTAACATGGCAATGATGGCATGTTGGAAATTCAGGAGACTCTCAATATATATGATTTGGAGACACAGATACTAACTATTATGTGTCTTTAATGCGATTGAGAATTGATATTTTATGATAAGTTACATGTGAGACACATATGGAAATAAATACTTTAAATAGAATAAGAAAATACTGAGTGATTCAGAATTACCTACTGGTTCTCAATACATTATAATCTCAGCGTGTTATTAAAATTTATTGGAGGATAAGTTTTATCTTCGTTAAGTATTAAGCCTGTTTGTTCTTCTCTTTTTCCCCAAGTTAAAGGTAGCAGCACCCAATTTTTGTCTACACTCAATGTGTTTTCCACCAGGAACAAAAGTTTGAGTCCCTTCTCAGTTCTACTTCATGCCTTTTAGACCATACTCTTCCTCTGCATTTCCAATCTCTAGTTTTTCTAAAGTCCATACTACTAGAGAATCTTTTTTTTTTTTTAATCATCATGAAAATGACTGGTTGCCTAATTCAAGCAACCTCCTATTGACTGCTCATCAATTGCTATGTTACTACTCTCAAAGCTGCTAGAAATTTTAACAACATAGTTTTAAGTGTAGATTTCAAAGCTCCCAAATAGAGCCATTTGAGCCCATCTTACATTTATTAGATCATTTGATGGTATGCCTTCTACTCCAACACACTAAAATCATCTCCATATCTCTGTTTTTTTCTTCTATCCCTCTCCACTTCCTCCATCTTGCAGATATCCATGATCTGCAGGCTCAACTGGAAATCTCTGATTCAACATAAAGTTATATTTTTTAAATAAATGACTTTTTATTTATACATACCAGAGCTGGAGTGTAAGTCAGAGAAGCAGGAGGTAGAGGGGAGAGGAGTCACCAGAGACTGAGAAGGGAGCAGAAGAGGCAGATCTCTGAAATACATTGCCAAGGGCAGTGTCAAGCAGGCAAGGCAGGAGAGGTCTTCACACAATGCGGGTCACCTCCCTGGCAGAGGATCAAACTTGTGCTGCAGTAGCTGTGCATAGAATTCTTAGTGCTGCTTTTTAACCCCTTGTACCACCAAGGGGGCCCTGAACATAAATATATTACTAATGTAGAAAAGAAAATAGATTAAGGAATCTGTAGAAGCTGCAGCACAATTTTCAATATGACTTATTGACCGTATCGTTTAACATTTCTGTGCACTGGGCTGTGTGATCCACAATCTGGAAAAAACAAAAGGCTATGCTCGTCTGAGTGCTGATTTTTAGCACACATTGAATGTAAGTATGGAAGCCTGAATTTTACTGGGGGAAAAAACAAGAGAACCACTTTCTAACACAGAAAATCTATAACATCCTATAAATTATGAACTGGGAAATGCACATCATTATGTTATCTTGTATCACACAACTCTGTTTAGTCATCCATTAAGAAGACAGTGTTTATTAGAAAAAAGCTAGAGAGATAAAATCAGAACTCAATGTTTTGTACACACTTGGTGAAAATTAACATTTCTAATGCTAATTCAATAAGATTAAACCATATATAGAGAGAATAAGAGAAGCATATTACTCTTCTAAGGTATACAGATAAATAAAAGAAGTTGTTCTATGAATAGAGAATTTTATATCTATTTTGTATTTTTGTGTCAATATAACACCACATAATTAAATCAATACTTTTTGTATGCTTCATGAGTTTTTCAGGATTTCCTATCTAATTATACATAGTTATAGGATGGTAACTATCACCTAATGTTGGCACATTACATAAGCTTCGTGGGCTCAGAAGGGCTAGAGAAAATGGATACCTTAAAGCCAACTGTAAGCAAAGTGCTTTCGGGACAACAAGGTACCTTGGGATGAGCAGTGGTATCCTGGGACATATTT